GCATTTTCTGTATACTTTTTGGACGATGATGATGGTGGTGGAATGTCAAAGTTGTCATTATGGCTTCTCAAAATGTCATCTCTGAATGATTAGTCAGAAATGTTGAACCTGAACTGTAGAGGGCGCTCTGTTGACTAATTTCTTGTAGTCACTGTAAAATTACTGAATTTGACTGCCAAATCAGAAAAAAAACAGGTGAGTGGTTCATGAATATATTCATGTCATCTCCAATTTTATTAAGGAAACCAATTTATTAAACATTTTCAACCCTTCCTTCACGAAGTATGTGTTGCCTTGGCACTGATATGGTCACAACTTTGAGCCCAGCAATGCATGCTTAATGCCCCATGCAAAACAAGAACCCTCTAAGATATGAAAAGAAATAAACAGAGGGGAATTAACTTTATCACACTATACCAAATGGTGGACATTGCATTTTTTATCTTATATTCTCCGTATTATTAGCAAGTAATAATAAATTGATATTTGATCTAAGGTGTAATGTTTTTCATTTTTTTTCTTTTTTTGGGTATCTGACCAGATTAATGTTCTTTTTATTTCCAATGGGTTTATGTCGTAGATTGGTTTGATGTCTCTCTGTCACTTGTATACACTGAATCATGTTCTTTCATTTCTTCAAGAATAAATTTATGTAAATAAACTGGCTGTTGTCTGAGAATGTATTAGTATTTATTATAATTCTCTTACCACATAGGAATAAGGTTTTTGCTTTAATACTAGACATGTGCCTGGAAGTAAAATTGCTGTAGAGGTGTAGTCAGGAAATAAAATTTACATCGATTATTTTCATAGAAGAATTGTTTTAAGCCAATTCAATCTATATACTTTATGCAACCTCAAATAATATTGTACTGTGTCTGGTTTTAGCACATACATACCAGGTATAAACAAGGATGTGCAACATGCGTGCAACCATGGAACTATTATAGGGGTTTATAGTTCCATGGTGCAACTATAGATATCAATTTCATGTAACATTAGTTACACTCCTCTATTCAATTCGCATCTTAGGATGGCGACAACAACGCTATGTCAACACTAATAATCTTCCATCCTCTACTATTCCACCGATGGGCAAAGGTTTCGGCCAGCATTTGCCAGATGTGTGTTTCGTATCTTAGATTGCGTCATTGCAGTTATATACTAGTAACTAGTAAGTAAGCACACAGTTCCTAAGCATGGGCTAAGAGGTTGAAATATTCATAATTTCATTTCGCCATTCCCAAAATGACACTTAACACGAGCAAATTCTGGACATTATTCTCAAGAGAAAAAAACAAACAAAAAACGGTCTGGCGACGAGACTGCACTACTTCCTGTTACTCTGCAATCTATACTTTCTTGACACGTGCAACCGGAACAGCCACTGGTGGCGCTGTAACCAATTAAC